ATGTTGAATTCCAATATTGCATGATCACTTCCTCCCAAGGTTCCTATGGCTTCAACACCTTCTATCATTTCATCTCTGTTAGTGAGAATTAGATCCAAAATGGCTAATCCCCTAGTTCCCTTCTCTACTTTTTGGGAGACAAAGTTGTCTGCTAGGTTTGTCAGGAATCTGTTTGATCTTCCACTTGGTGCAGAGTTTGGCTCCCAGTTGATGTCAGGATAGTTAAAGTTCCCCATTACTATTGTGATGTGCTTCCTACATACCTTAGTTAGCTGACTAGGAAAAAGTTCATCTATTTCCTGTGTTTGGTTGGGTGGCCTATTGTATACACCTATGGCAATGTTGTTTTCCCCCCTTTTATATTGACCCATACGCATTCAGGACAGTTTTCATCATTGTTGTGCTCTATTTCTGTAGAGATGTAGTTATTTCTTATATAGAGAGCAACTCCACCTCCTCTTTTATTTGGTCTGTTTCTTTTAAATAATTTAAATCCCTCTAGCTGTGTGTTCCATTTGTGGGTTTCATCCCACCACGTTTCTGTAATATCATATCTGCCCTCATTAACCTGAATTTCTAGTTCACCCTGTTTGCTGTTCATACTCTGTGCATTTGTGTATAGACATTTGAGTCCTTTATGACCGACCCTGTGTTTACTTCCTACATAACCTGTTTGGTGCCTGAGTTCTCCTAATGTCTTACCACCTATTTGGTTAGTGCACTTTGTGTGGCACTCGCTATTAAGAGCTTGATTTTGCTTGACAGCAAGGTTGATGTTCTTGTCTACACACACATCTATGTTACATGCACTGATAGGCCTATAATTTTTAGATTGCCGGGGACAGGGATGTTCTGTATCAGTTAGCTCACTGTCCCCGCTGCCTAGTTTAAATATTCCTCCAGAAAATCTGTGAATTTATAGCCAAGTAACTCAGTCCCTTTCTTTGATGGATGCAAACCATCTCTTTTGTACATTTCTTCATTGGACCAGCTGCTGACATCGTGACTAATAAATCCAAAGCCTTCCCCTTTACTCCACTCCTTTAACCACATATTGAATTGTGCTATATGCTGGCCTTTTCCATTTTGGTCCTTATACACTGGTAAGATCTCTGAAAAAATATGCCTACAGCCTATTCTGCTAAGTTCCTGCCCCAGGCTCTGGAAGTCATTCTGCACAGTGAGTACATCTTTTTGGGACAGATCGTTAGTGCCAAGATGTACAATAGCCTCCACATCACAGTCCTTGCTGGCATTCTTGATTATTTTACAAATACGCTTCTTGTCCCTACTGGCAGTAGCACCTGGAAGACACCTGACCTC